AGCACGCTGTTTTGTTGGGGAAGCACTCCTGTTTGGCTCCCCTTCTCTTTTTCACCAAGAGTGGCTCACTTCCTTTTGAGTAATCCTAAATTCCCAGTTTAAGGATTTACACTGAGCAGGCTGGTGCAGGGTGGTGTCCTGGCAGCAGGCAGTTACACAGCCTGTGTTTGCATGGGCAGTGGGAAAGGAGCTGGAGTCAGGAGGGTAAGGACTCACTCGGGTATGAGTCCTGCATGGTGTTCTTGCAAGGATGAGCAGCACTGGGATGTCCTCATGGCTCGCCTTGGGTGCCACCAAAGTGTGCTCTCCATGTCACTGCTACCCACAGCAGAGCTGCCAGACAGCAGGAGCATGAAGCAGGGTTATGTGTGTCAGCTGTGTGAGAACAGATTTCCAGGGCAGGTGAAAAATGTCTGCCCTGGGCTTTAGACAGCATTGCACTGACAGGAAGGTTGGCTCAGAAATCGGCCCGTATCCATCATGCTTCTCTGGAAGAGCCATGAAGCAGAGCCCTGGTGATGGTGCACTGCCCTGCCCATGCGTGGAGCTCTGGGCAAACCGCCAGCATGTTGTGGGCAGCTCTCACTGCTGCTCCTGGGATGTCTAATCCTCATTTAATTTGCAGAGTCAAAAGCACATGGGTTCACATTGGTGTTTGTGAACACATGCTGATGGTTACTTTAATCAAGGTTTTTCCTTTCTTATTGCTGAAGAACCTGACTGGTTGGGCATCTGCAGCAGTGGGAATCAGTTCCTCACAGCCTGGAGCAAGTGTACGGGTTCATGTTGGTGTTTGTGAACACATGCTGGTGGTTACTTTAATCAAGGCTTTTCCTTTCTTATTGCTGAAGAGCCTGACTGGTTGGGCATCCGCAGCAGCGGGAATCAGTTCCTCACAGCCTGGAGCAAGTGGAAACTCCATATACTCTCGTAGACACTCTATAAAAACATGTCAAAGTGTTCATTTGGAAAGGTAAACAGCAAAAGTAACTAAATGCTGGTTTTCATAACTCTCTTTTCTTATCTGCTATTGAAATTACAGTTCCGAGCTGCTCTGTTGCTTTAACAGCCACTTAATCCCCCAAATGCCATTGCAACTCCATTGGAAAATGACAGACCTCTGGTTTGCATAGTGACTCTTCCACTGACCATCCTCAGCGTGCCCACTGACTCTGCATTCCCAAAGCATTGCTCACATCAGAATTCAGCCTTAAATACATGTTTCTGCATGCACACTCGTGTGTACACGTACATCCAGAAACTCAAATGTATGTTTGAGTAAGCAAATCTGAACACCCGCTTCCTGAAAACATTTACCAAGTGCTTTCTTTCCTTGTTTGCAGTCTGTCAGGCAGCCGTTCCCCTTTTCCAAATAACTGCTTTGTACTTCCATTTTATCAGTACTGCTTTAGCTTTGTGGAAGGTTCCTGCTGGCTGTCCCGCAGGTCTCTACTGGTCTCTGTTCCCCTGAGATGGCAAATTAACTCTTCAGCCATCTGCTCCTGGATCCTGAATTCAGGAATTGTGCTTATTGTTGGAAAAATGAGAAGCTGTGTGAAAACTAGAGCTGTGTGAACACTGAGAAGCTCACATAGAAGTGTGAGCAAAATGGATCTGATGACATAAGTTTGGGTTTCTTAAGTTGTTTTGAACTTTGCTGTTCCATTTTAAGTTTCAATCAGTGAAGGTGGTTTAAAATACACGTGGATTTCTGGTCTAACGTGAGTTAGGTAAGGGGATTACTGATGATCTCCCTCCAAAGCAGCCACTGCTGTGGTTCAGAGTGAGCAGGGACAGCGTGGTCCTCGTGCTCTGTGCCTCGCTACCAGCACGGAGACCTGTGGCAAGTGTTATCACAGTCACACAGGGCTTGCATCATGCTCTGAGGTGTTTGATGAACAGTAGGTACATGGTGCAGTAATTCTTCACCTTTCCGTGTGTCTTTGTGTCACTTTCACCTTTATAATCTCTTCAGATTATTATCTAGACATGAATCTTAAATGGCTTTATTTTTGTTCATAGAAAAAAACCATCGGAATTCAGGTAATTAAGGTGGAGGTAAAGAAGGAATTCAGGTAAATAACATGATAATTTAATATTCCTCTATCCAGTGTTCATGATGACTGCATGTTATTAGAACTGAAATAATTATTGCTTTTTCAAGGCAGTGACAAAAATTGAAAACAAAGTTGGAAATCAGTATTTTCAGAATAGTAAAACAATAAAAATATTACTGCTTTTCTTCCAAACTGAAAAGTCATATGTTTGAACACAGGATTTAATTTTTTAAATATCAAAACAAAATATTGATTTATTTGAAATCTTCTGTTGTCTTATTCTGATGATAATATGCTTTTTAGACTGAGTTGGAATATGTTTTATCAGATACTTTATTGCTTTTGTGAACCTAGCATATTTCTGGAATTCCTGCTTTGTCATGTATTTGGAATTACTGCATGTGTTAACTTTCAGATTTAAGTTTCAGTGAATTGCTTTTTTCAGTTCAGAGTGTGAATGTGGTCTCAAATAAGATGTTTGTTTCCTTTTATACAACTTACAATTCAGTAATAAACAACAGATGGGAAAACCATATCCAAATTCTGTTGTACAAAACCTCTTGTGTGTGCCATCTCTTCATGTGAGATGAACAGGCCGATATCTGGTTCTGTGAGCATCACTAAGAAGTATCGATGATAACAGTGAAGAAATAAAAGTAGAAACAACTGACTGAAGCATAGGTGGGTGATATGAAATACAGTATCCGCTTCGGAATATGCAGCCTGAAGCTGCTTAACTCCCAGTCAATCCCAGCATGTACACTCAGCACTGAACTGGGATTTTCAAGCTTATTTTGAGGACAATGGGTGGAAGTATGACAGAGTCGTCTTGGGCAGGAAAAGGGCATAAAAACTAAACAAGCCAACTTGTTTGCTGGAGCTCAGCACTGAGGGTAGGATGGCTTGATGGAGCACAAAATATCCATGTATGAAATTATTGATGTTAACAATACATCCAGGTTTGGTGTGGCTTTTCTCTTGTTTGCTGTAGTGTTTAGCATTGTTAAGCTGGTTCCCGTTATTTCCTGCGTGTCCTTGTGTTGGATGAAGACACAGTCAGGGCAGGTTGGGTGTTGCTGCTGCTCAAAGGTAGTTGTCAGCCCCACGTTGCTCTAATTACACTGATCATTTAGTGGATGTGGATCCGAGGTATTGAGGGACAGAAGAGGACACTTTTGCTCCATACTACAAGGTTGTGACTTGTTTCACGGAAGGCAAACATGGACAGTGTTTACGATGCCAGTGTTGGTTTTGTCCTTTGTCCATCTCCAAGTCCCTGGGTGACACAGCTGAGTCTGTCGCTGGGTGTTGGGTGGCTGGAAGAGGGCTGTGCTGGTGGAAAGGAGCGTTTCTGCAGGGCCATGCTGCCTCCCGGTGGCTCCAGAGTTTATTTCTTAATAATAAAAATTGCCGGTATGAACAGCTATGAGTTCTAAACCCACACATTTCATCCTTGCAACTACAGCTTGAAAATTCAATCTGATATCGCAATACTTATTTTTAGCAGGGCTGATTTATTGAGGCAGCAGGCCAGTGTCTGAGCTAGTTCATCCAAGTCTTGTTGAGCTTGGAGGAGAGAAGGCTTCAGGGAGACCTCATTGCAGTCTTCCAGTACCTGAAGGAAGCTTAGAAACAGGAGGGAGAGCAACTTTTTCCATGGGTAGAAAGTGACAGGACAAGGGGAAATGGTTTTAAACTAAGAGAGGGGAGATTTAGGTTGGATATTAGGAAGAAATTTTTCACCTACACTGGAACAGGTTGCCCAAAGAACCTGTGGATGCCCCATCCCTGGAGGCATTCAAGGCCAGGTTGGATGGGGCCCTGGGTTTTTACAACACCACAATATTTTGGGGATGCCCAAATCTTAAGCAAAGAAAATATCTGATAGACTGACCAAAGCCACCACCTCCTCTGCACTGGGGCTGGTGACACACAGCTCAGCTTTCAGTCTCCTGAGATGATCTGGGCTCTCTTGTTCTCCAAAGGATGCTCAGTCCCCGAGGGCTGCTCGGTGTGAGAGAACAAGCGGTGGTGCTGCTTGGCTCTTGGTAAAACTTCAGCAAAATAGAAGTTGTAATGGAGTTTTTTACCATTCCAGGTTAAAGCCAGGCTCTCGGTGCTGCAGCCGTTCCTTTCACCCCCCCTCGGTGTGTGCCTGCACTGGCAGTGGTTCCTGGGGGAATTGTTATTACCTGTTGCTCAGCCCTCCCTGTGCAGAAGCAGTTGCCTTTGGGAGATGGACTGAAATCTCTTCATCCTGAGAAGAGTGGCAATTAATTCTGATCTTTCAAATATTAACCAGAAGTCCTGTAAGAGATTATTTTTTTTTTTCCTACCAAATCAATTATTGCACAACTGGTTGGGTGTGTTAGTACAAGATGAAGGGTGTGCTTTTGTCAAGGTAGGTCCTTGTTACTGCCTGAGAAATGACAGTGGGTTCCATGCTGCTGCAGTCTGATCCGGTTTGGCAGCTCAGCGAGCTGGGCTGTGTGTGAATGGGTGTGTTATGAAGCAACAGCTGATAGCTGCTGAATATTTAATGCATTTTTTCACATATGAGTGTTACCTGCTGCAGTCCTCTGTTCACAGACCACATTCTGCTCCTTATTTCTCACCTGTCTCTTTCCCCCTGAGCCTTCCTGCTGGCTGTTATTGCTGAGTGCAGGGCAGGGGGTGATGGGGGTGCAGACCCTCGATGTTTAACCTGAGGCTTAGGTGCCAGCTCGGTGGGCTCCGAGCAGCTGAACGCTTTGCAGAAGAGACGCGTTTTCTCGGGAGCTGCACAGCAGAGTAACCTCTGCCCCAGGCACTGAGCCCAGAAATCACTGCCTGGCCAGGACCCAGATAAGCCACGGGATTAACTTTGTCCTGTGCCTGGGTGCTGGCTGGTGAGAGTTGGTGAGACTCTGAACTGGTCGGTTTGGGCAAGCCGTACCTCCAGACATGGGAACCAAGCTGCTCTGCTTTGTCCTCGCCTCGGCTCTCCTCGCTTACTACCTGTACACCCCTGTCCCGGAGGACATCGACGAGCCCTGGAAGGTCATGCTCCTCTCGACTAGCTTCAGGGTCATGGGACACCTGGTGAGTGCTGGGCTTGGTGTGGGGCTGGCCGGGGAGAGGACGTTCCCACTGCCTCTGTGGCTGACTGAGATACGGCAACGTGTACCTGCCATACACGTGTATATTTTATATATATATATGGTAATATACTAAGTGAAGGACAGTAGTATCTGAAATTAAGCATTAAAGTTACTGTAGCTATGGCTATAAAGAAACAGAAAAGATTTAATTGTGCAATCTTGAAAAAAGGACATTCAGAGGAACTGGAAATGTGGCACAAAATGTGAGTATGGATAGACAAGTGCCAACAAGTTTATTTTGCTTTGCCATCCTTTGTAGCTGAAGCACTCCTCCTTGAACTTTTCCTGTTTCTCAGAACCTGTATATCAAGCTTCCTCAGAAGTATTGTCTTGGGTGTCAGAGGAAGGGAAACTAGAGCTCTTAAACTTATTTTTTGTGGTTTCATAGGAATCCACTGACAGAATGAGCCTAAAAACTACACCAAGCTAATTAGAGGGGTGATAATGCTAGAGCACATAGAAATTAAGCGCGCTCTCTCTGTCTCTCTCTCTCTCAAATCTTTTTTAATACCACTGCAATCTTGCCTACCAAACAAAGCTATTTAGCTAAGCAGCACGGAACTGTATGTCGTAGTCTGGAAGGCAGAGGTATTACACCCTGTCTGTAGTGATATGGCAACATTGACTGACAACAATGCAGTCCTTATGTCTTTCCGTGCTATTTTATTTATATATATATATATATTCCACCCTCAGCTTGTGCTGTGTTTCAGTCATGTTACATGACTGCTTCAAACACAGGTAAATGATCGGTGAGGCTGCACAGCATGTCATGGTGCTGTAGCTCCCACCCCTCATGTGCATTAAACTGGAGCTGCTTTGGATCCAGCCTGGACTTACTGTGCGCCGGGGCTGCAGCAGCGCGCCCGAAGCCTGAAAACAAGGTCAAAGATGAAGGTCCAGGGGGAGGAGAGCGGCTGCGTGTTGCAAATGTCTTTCTGGGAGGCTGTAAACGTTTTGAGACTGCTTTGTTCTCCACCGTAGAATGTGTTGAGAGGAGGGTCTAAGGAGCCAGCAGAGAGGTTTCCATGTTCCCTTGAGGGACGTTGCTGGAAGGCGTCTCTACAGCACGAACTCCTGGGCTGGTTCCTCCAAGGTGCTTAACAAAGCACAAGGAACACAAAACTCCAGAGTGGTTGGTTTTCCTCTTGCCCCTGTAACTGCAGTAACTTCAGATCAGGGACAATGAGACTTTTTAGATGAGGGTATGATATCTTTTTGTTTTTATTTGACAATGGCCTTGAACCCGCAGGCAGCAGACCAGTGCTTTGCTACCATGTAAAACGTCCACCTCTGGAAAAATGAACTCTGAGAACACCAAGGGCCTCAGTCCTGAAGCTGAGGGAATTCCTCCCAACGTGGAGGAGTGTCACAAGCTCAGTGGAATTCCAGCAGGACTCACTTTGACCTCTGTATTTATTTTTTCAAGACGCTAATCCTCCGGGAAAATACAACAGCTGAGAAATATTTATATAAACAGTGTAATCACTGGATAAAAATATGCAGTTTTGGCACATGTATGTATTGGTCTTCATGGAGCTTCTGACAAGACCTGAATGTTCCCTCTGCCCTGTGTGCCAGTTACTGCCTGTTTGTCTTCATCTCAGTTCCAAACCACAGAGTTTGGCAGAGCTGCTGGTGTCACTTGGTCCAAATCTTCAGAGTGGTGACTCTTAAACATGGTGCTGATCACTATCAAGTGCTGTCAGTAAGGTCTCAGCTGTATTCTCTTTCCTTCTAACTTCTGAAAAAGTAGGGTATGTGTAGAATATAGTTGATTTAAATATAATCTAAAGTAAACCAAATTAAAATCAAGCAAACCAGCAGGGTTAGGTGGTGTGATGTGCAACATCCAACTCTGAGTGCCAGATTTTTTTACCTTTCAAGAGGTTGTCAGTTAAAGTGTGGGGGGTTTTGGATGCTTGTTTTGCATTCTTATTGGGAAGAGTAAAGCATCTCTTGGAAAGCTAAACTTCTGACAGGCTCTGTGCCAGGCTGGGCATTTTATTTCTTGGCAAATGATATGATATGGATTATCTCCTTGGCATATCCAAATGCCAATTTGGGGTTTGCTAATTACTGTGCTTCCCCCCTCCCAGTCTTTTGCACTTGCAAACTGGCAAAACACCATGACCTTGGACATCCAACAGCAACTAAAAACATCAGTACCTTATCAACATTCTTCTCATAACAAATCCTACATGGAAAGCAAAACACAGCTATTCCAGCTACTAAGAAGAAAAATAACTCTATCCTGGTGAAACAAGCGTGCACCCACAAACTGGCAACCCTGATGTCCCTGCTGGGTGCTTCCCAATGCACTTTCCTTTCTGAACCATTGGTAACACACTGTTAGCAGCAGTCATGGGAGTGACTGTTTTACCAAAAAGCTGCAGTTTCATAAACTTAGGGATGTTATTTCAGTTATCTTCCAAACCAAGCGTTGTGATCAGATTGCATCAGTGTGATTGCAGGGTTGCTTATGGCTGCTCAGACAAGGAATTGCACACTGGCCTGAAGTGGAGGAAAGCACTTTCTTTTACTGGCTCAGCAATGGGGAGCAGTGGTGTCCTCTGGGCTGCCTTCCAGCCACCACCACCGAGCTTTGCAGGGGAGCAGTGGGGGAGAAGGGAGTTGAACATCTCAGGCTGGACAGTGCAGACAGCGACTCCTCTGAGCCAGCAGCGTTTGGCTTAGTGACTTCCACAGAGACTTTACAGACTTGTACAGGGAGTCAAATGGCTTTGTGGAAATTTAACCTCTAAGGCTGTGTTTACAATGCTGCTTTCCCTTGCCTTGGGCTCTAGGCTGAGGTTACTGACTGGCTGGGACTCATGAACTATATGGAAGCTCTGATGCTGATCACGACTGCTGAGTACACCCCACCCACGTCTGATGAAAATGTCACTGTGACGGACACAGAGCTCAGCAATGTGGCTGTCCGTCTGTTCCTGCCCAGAAAGCCATCTGAGGGGCTGAGGAGAGCAGTGATCTTCTTCCATGGTGGAGGATGGTGCTTAGGACATGCAGGTAAGCTCTTCTGTCAGCACCAGGGGTCCGTATGGAAGATCTCAATGACTCGTGGCAAGTGGTGCCTTTTGTTTTATGGGATAGGGGCAGGGAACTGGCTTTTCACCAGTGAAAATGCACCAGTGCTGGAGAGGGTGCTCAGTGTATCCTGAGGTGGAGGGCAAAGGGTCTGGTCCAGGGCTCTGCTGCTGTCGTGGCGTTTTATCTGCAGCCCCTGGCTTGGTTACGTGGTATTAGTGGGACAAGGGGGCAAAACTGGGTATTGTAATAAGGGAAGAACATCCACGTAGGGGTAAAAATCCTTGGACTTGTCAGTGTTGGGTTAATGATTGCACTTGATTATCTTAAAGGTCTTTTCCAATCGAGGTGATTCTGGGATTCTGTAAAAATCAAATGGAGATGTAGAGACTGGGGGTGTCATTGGTTCCCAGCAGCTCAGTTCTCGGACACTTCCCCATACCCCTTTCTCAGGGAAGGGCAAGGGGTATTTATTGTTCCCTGAAATCTATTTTGGGGAGTTTTGCCATATCTGTTACTGCATCTTTATTTCTCATGAACGTGCTCCCAGGAGGGCGAGCGTGTTTCTTTGGTTTTGGTGACAATTGTGCTCTCAGTGCTCGCCTGATGCATGGTGTTCTGTGGTGTGCCCAGAGGGGCTTTCTCAAATCATAGCATCCCAGACTGGTTTGGGTTGGGAGGGACCTTAAAGTTCATCCAGTTCCAACCCCCCTGCCAGCAGCAGGGACACCTTCCACTAGACCAGGTTGCTCAAAGCCTCATCCAACCTGGCCTTGAACACTCCCAGGGAGAAACAGCCACAGCTTCTCTGGGCACCCTGGGCCAGTGTCTCACCACCCTCACCCCAAAGAATTTCTTCCCAGTATCTCATCTCAATCTACTCTTGTCCAGTTTATAACCATTGTCCCTGTTCTATCACTATGGTTCTGTTCAGTGTGCCATGCTTTTGCTATGACTTTTTCATGAGTGATTCATCTTCCAGTCACCCTCTCCCCTGGAACCCGTCTTCTGCTTCTCTTTGGTGTCCTTCAACGCTTATGGGTATAAGTTACCATCTTGACCATCACCCAAATGGGCACCATAAGTGTAGCAGATACGGCTGAAGTTCACAGCTATCAATCCATAGCTCACTTGAGTGGCTGAGCTGCTTGTTTTGGGGAGAAGGAGCCCAAAGACTTTTCCCAGGCAAGCTCTTTAATTTTGGTGTGTGTATGCGTAACCAAGAGCTCAGTCTGGCCCCGGTGTGTTCTTGGTTCTGTTGTTCTCTGCTGTGAAAGCTGAGCCTCCAGGACTTTGTGCTGTGTAGTGCTTGGAAGTGTAAATAATGTCCTTTGTTCATCCTTTTGGGTAGCATTCCAGCAGTAGTCAGATTGCTTCTTCCAGTCTGAGCTTCTGGACAAACCCATGTGTTCTGTGGCCGCATGGCTGTGGGGGCTTTGGAGAGTGCCCAGAGGCTCCTGCCGAGGGGAACACGTGGTTGTGTGTGTGCCTGTTCTCAAAGGTGCTGTTGTAGGTTCTAAGTGGCTCATTTTATTTCAGGCATGAAATCCTATGATCGTCTAGCAAGATGGACTTCAAACAGGTTAAATGCTGTCGTGGTATCAGTCAAGTAAGAGATTCTCCTTCTCGATGGGATGAGGGTTTGGAATTAATGACTCTATTTCAATTAATCTAATTTTGCAGTATCTTTTACTTTGATCATATATTTTCCTGGTAGCTGTAAGTATTTGCAAACAAAAGCTGTCGGGGTTGCAGGGGTGAGTGGTGGTTGGTGGTTATTTTGGATATTGCTTTATGAAGTTGGGTGGGTAATAAAATAATTTATCATCCAGGACAGAGTTCTGATTTCTCTGGGCACAGAAAATAATAAACACTCACCAACTAGGGCAGATGCTAGCAAGGCTTTTTCTATAAACAGCAGGAGGTAACACATTTCTGCTTGCCTCTGACAGTTACAGGTTGGCACCTAAGTACCATTTTCCCGTTCAGTTTGAAGATGTGTACGCGGTAACGAAGTTCTTTCTCCAGAGAAATATCCTCTCCCAGTACGGGGTGGACCCGGAGCGGGTCTGTGTTGCAGGAGACAGTGCAGGTGGCAACTTAGCTGCAGCTGTGGCACAACAGGTAAAAAAACAAAACAACAAAAAAGCCAAAACCAAACCAACCCCCCCCCCAACTTGTTTGCTAGTTCAACTTTGTCATTGTCATTTAATGAACTTTACAAACTCCTGAAAAACACCTCTGCTCAAAGCGAGTGCATCTCTGAGGCTCCAGCCAAGCCAGGTGACTGAGCCATTTCGTGCCATCAAAGTAGCTTTGATGTGACCTTTATGCCCTAAAAAAAGGCTCTCTGCCCTATAATCAGGGCATATATCGCTCTCTCCTTCAGCATATTTTAACTGTTTTCAGATATATTGTTTGAAAAGGGAATTTTAGCAGTTTGACTCATATGGATATAAATAGCAGCCAAAAAAAGGACTAAATGTTGTGGTGTCATTTAATCACACGCAGTTTCAGCACCGTTCATGCTTCTCACTCAGGTTTGTTCAATAAAGTCAGTGTGATGTTGCTCTCTTGAGGACTTATTTGGATTGTAATGAATCTCACTTGGAAAGGTTGTGAATTTGCTGTGGATGCTGAAGGCAGAGGACGAGGGAGAAAGTGGACATTTATTAGTGAAGAAGGAAAAAGGATGGTGTGTATGAAATGTCAGTGTTCAATTCATCACATTTTATTTTTTGCATGTCTAAAATGGACAGAATCGTAGTTGTTTGAGTTCTAACACCTCAGGGCTAAAAAACCAAACAGATGGATAAGCCCTAAATTGTGTGAAATATTTAAAGGAGCCCCAGAAATCAGCAATTTTTAAGCTATAAGAATAGAAATTTTCTGTAGTTATAGAAGAAGCATTTGTTACTACTTCAGAAGGCATCAATGCTTCCAAAAGTCTCAATGCTTCATAAAGAATATTTCCCAAATATTGTTATCCTTCAGCATAAGAAAAAAAATTATATTATATTTGATGTTTGAGCATTTTTAATACAATGTACTGTTTTAGGTCACCTGCCTATGAATTTAGAATTTATTTAAATTAATCTATCCTGGTTTTGTTGATAATCTTATTTTGCTTTTGTTGTTAAACACGTGTGTTAATTTCTTAAGATCTTCTGTCAGTATGGGAGAACCAACACTTTTTCACTGACTTTTGTAATTGTTTCTCTTTTCTTCTACAGCTCTTAGAGGACTCTGAAGTTGAAACTAAGCTCAAAGCCCAGGTTTTGATTTACCCTGCTCTTCAGTCCCTGGATCTGAATTTGCCATCTTACCAGGAAAACGCAGACCAGGTGATTTTATCCAGGTCACTTACGGTCAAGTTCTGGAGCGAATATTTCACTTCTGACTTGGCTCTGAGGGACGCGATGGCCTCCAACAGGCACGTCCCGCTGGAATCGAGCCACCTCTTTCAGTTCGTAAACTGGAGCCAGTTTCTGCCCGAGGAGCTGAAGAAAGGTCACGTTTACACAGGTCCCGTCTACGGCAGCTCCGAGCTGGCACAGAAGTACCCGGGGTTCCTGGATCCGCGGGCAGCCCCACTGCTGGTGAGCGATGCCCGGCTGCGCCGCCTGCCCCTCACCTACATCCTCACCTGCCAGTACGACGTCCTGCGGGATGATGGGGCCATGTACGCCCAGCGGCTGCGGGCAGCGGGTGTGCCCGTCACCCATGATCACGCCAAGGATGCCTTCCATGGGGCAATGACGTTTATCTCGGCTCCAACTGATCTAGCTGTAGGGCACCGGCTGGCCAACAGATACCTGGAGTGGCTGGATGAGAACCTGTGAGTGCAGACGTTGCTCTGGCACGCCTGGCTCCCCTTCGCTGGCTGCGGCCGAGGGCCACAGGGAAACGGGAGCCGTGTGAGTTTTTGGGTGTGATTGCCGTCTTTGGTGTGTTGCTCCACAGCATCTGCATTGCAGCGTTTCTCCTCTTCTCTGGCAAGAAAATCAGTCTGATTCTGACCTCCGTGTGCTTCCACTGCTGTCGTCTGAGCTCAGAACCCCAGAAACTGCTGGGGCTGCCCTGAGTTGTCTTTCCTGGCCTGGAGCAGAAGGGTTGGTGTGCACAGCCCTGCCTGTGCTGCTAGGGCTTCCCTGAGCCCAGTGCGTGGGGCTCCCTGTCCTGGGTTTCACAGAATCACAGAACACTGTGAGCTGGAAGGGACCCACCAGGATGCTGGAGTCCAACTCCTGTCCCTGCACAGGACAATCCCAACATTCACACCATGTCCCTGAGGGCCTTGGCCAAATGCTGCTGGAATCTTGCCAGGCTTGGTGCCATGAGCACCTCCCTGGGGAGCCTGTTCCAGTGCTCCACCACCCTCTGCCTCAAGAACCTTTTCCTCATGGCCAACCTCACCCTCCCCTGCCACATCTTCCTGCCATTCCCTCTGCTCCTATTATTGGTGTCTGTGGCTTTTTGTTTCTTCCCATCATGGTGTCACGGCAGCAGGTTTGGGCAAATGGGCAGCGGTGGCATTTGCACCTGCTCAGGGCTCCCTGTCCCCTTTGACGCACTCCCATGTTCTGCGGGATGTTGCCACCAGGCCATGGGGTGTGTGGGGCCCTGTTTCGTGAAGGAAAGGCGGTGAGTGAAACCCTGTCCCCTGCACCTGGGGTTTGGGCTCTTGTCCCTCCAGCACAGTCTGAGGGAAGCGCTGGAAAACCAAATGGGATGGGTGTGATGTGGTGCAAATGTTCTGCTGCTGGGATTTCTTGGGTTTTGTTTGTGGGTTTTTCATGGTTTTTTTGTTTTTTGTTTTTTTTTTTTTTTAAATCATCTGTCTTTCTCGGTAAGTACTTCCTTGAATCCCTGTCCTAGAAGGAAATAAGGTAACAAACCAGCACTGGATATCCATTGGATAAAGGGAGACTGTGAAGGCCCTCGCCTTACAGTAGCACTGCCATGTGTTTTATACACTACTTAATAAATAAGTTATGTATCCTGTGTTCTAATTATCCTTAAAATTGTTTAGCAGTTTTTACATAAGGGTTTTTAAAGATAAAATTAGCTTCATAGCTTTATAGACTTGAAAAAGAAACAGTTCAGCTGTCAGTCTTGAACGACTGTCCTCTATGTGAATGTTTTGTGTCTTAAATATAAACCCTAAAAACTTTGAATGATGAACGCACACGTTGGTCGGCTCTAAACTGATCGTGACCCACCACAAACATGTACCTCTAGCATCCTGCTTTTTTCTTTTGCATAAAAGACACTCAATCTTCAATAATTCAGTTGTTTGTTTGTTTGTTTTTTCTGAGTGTGTGTTTCAGCCAGGTTGTATGGGCTGTATATGGAATATTGCTGTGTTATATTGTCCCTCCGACAAGCAGGAGGGAGCACCTAAGGCTAGGAGAGCAGCGGGGTGCTGCTGGGTGCCCCTGCCCCCTGAGCAGGGCTGAGGGTCTTTCCTTGTGTGCTGTAGCTCCTCGCAAAGCCTGGGCAGAGCTTCAGAGGTGGGTCTTGCCCTTACCTCTGTTCCCTCAGCCAAATGCTGATGGGAGGCGTTGGGAAGGGTTTGGCAGGGGAGGCAGGCTGCTGCCCGCTGGTTGTTGGCAGAGAAGGGAGCCTGGGCAGGGGTGAAGCTGTGCCCTAAAGGTCATCCTTAAGTTAGTGGAGAGTCTGACCAAGCAGGGTGTTTAGGAGATAAAACAGTGAAAATGTTGGCAGTGAGAGGAGCAGAGTGAAAGATGCCTCTAGAAATGATCTTTCTTGTCTTTAGAAAAGTTTTATACCTGTAGGGTAGTAGAAAAATTTATGCTTTTGGCAAAAATGGCAACAGTCTTACAGCCTCCCCCTGCGTGTTTCTGTACACAGATGTGCTTTGGAGAACCCCTGGAGCTGCCTGCACACCACAGCTGTGGGGAAGGAGCCCCAGAACGCATCAGTCCGAGGGCTCGGGGTGGCAGAGCCCAGGCCAGGTCTCACCCGCCACCTCCAGCGTGGCTGCAGGGCTGGGCTGCTCTCCTGGGAGGAGGAGGAGGAAGGCTCCAGGGTGATGTTTCCATGCTGCAGCCAACAGCAGTGAATGCCCTTTCCTCTTCCTGGGAGGTGGAGGTTGAAAAAAGGCCGTTATAGCTTTTGGGGAGCAAAAGAAATCTGTGTGTTGGACTTCCTGAAGCTTACACTGTTAATGAAGACCTGTTCCTCCCAGGGGAAAAAAAAAAAAAAAGAAATTAGTTGAATAATTGAAGCAATTTCATGTCTTTCCTCATTTTCAGGCCCTGCATATAATTAGTACAAATCCAAATAACAGATGGCAAAGTGCTGAGGGGAGCGGTTGTCTACGAGATGTGCATTACAGAGGCACTTTATGCAGATGACATCCCGCGTACGGCTGTCGCAGCGCAGGCTTGCTCAGCTGCTCTCATAAACGCGAGGGGTGACGGCTCCTCGTGTTGGAGGGGTGATGGCTGGGGGGGATGACGGCCTCTCGGAGCCCCCCGTTCCTGGGGATCAGCCAAGCAGGCTGTTTTACTGCAGGGCACCAGCAAAGCTGGGCTGGGAGCGGGTCCTGGTGCCATGTACCTGCGCGAGGAGCAGCAGCACTGGGGGTAAAGTGAGGGTGCTGGAGCGTGGGCTGGTTCAGGCACCTGAAATACCTGCAGCACCCCACAGGCATCCATCCCCTTGTGATGGCAGCCAGCTGGGGAGAGCTAAGAGGTGCTTGGATGCATTTTCCTGGCACGAGCTGGCAAACGAACATCTGAGTCCAAACACAGCGACTTTGGCTCGGGGACAGAAGCAGAGGAGAGCTGGCTCGTGTTTGTTTCAGAGCACAGTGAAACCAGGTACTGCTGGGCTGATGTGAGCCAAGATAAACCAAAGGAAACGTTAATTCTGTTCCTTCTTTGTACCAGGGGCAGAAGCAGCATGAGGCTTCTCTTCAACTGGTTCATGGTGGCCAGTGCAAGGCATTAATTAATTTCCCCTAGTAATAATTTATAACCTAAAAGAATATTCCCATGTTCCATTTTGCTCATGGGGATGAATCCTGGGTGGGGGTAAACATTCCTTGTTCAAAAGGGAGAGGCACCACATTTCACTCAAGGTCAACTTTAATGACTCATTCTAATTGGTCAAATGCAAATACATCATCATAAACTGCTAAATATGCATGACTCATTTAATAGGCCTCAGTCTAATATAAATTGACTAATGGGTATTTAATGACAACAGACGTGCCTGACTCCAGTTGTGTTTCTTCTCTGAAGCCCACAGGATGCTACAGAACCCAACGAATTTAACAGCACAGCGTTGATCTACAGCCGGAGCCTGCCCTCCTCTCCCAGTCTTGCCAACTTGCTTCAAACAGGCTGGGAGCTGCAGGGTTAAACCTGGGTGGCACCATTTCAACAGAGCAGTGAATTTATTGGTTTTCCTTACAAATTGCTACTGATATAAAGCAGTGCTCTAAAATGATGGTTAACGTAAGGAGTTACCTTTTATAAGGTTTCACTTGGCCATTTAAGGAAGTCTCGTTTGAGTCGCTCGTCTATTGTTCACTTTCTGCATGTACAGATTAAATTGTTCCCCAGCACTTCCTCCTCCATAAACTTCTTCCATCATCAGGCAGAGACGATGACTCACTTGTGATGAGTTCTTTGTTATCAGGGCCTGTTGTGTTCCGTTTGGCATTTCTCACGGCAGGTATGGTGATACCAACGTGGAAATGAAGCAGCTGCTGCTGGTGGGTTCCAGGCAGCTCTGATGTCCATCTCGGTGCCACCTGAGCTGGTGCTCTGCAGCACCTTCTGTGAACAGACACGGGGATCATCGAGCTGCGAAAGCTTGAGACAAGTTACTGCTGATGGTAGTAAAGAGACTGAAACCCCTCCGGCCATTGGGACACAAGGTGTGCAGAGCTGGAAGACTTATTGAGCCCAATGGAAACCCCCACTCACTCCTTCAGCTGGTTCCATGTGTGTTGTCCAGTCTGGCTGTCAGGACGTGATGGTTCTAGAGCAACAGCAGCAGCTCAGGGCAGGTGCCAGGTGCTCCTCCAGCTTCATGTGGGCTTCTGTCCCATTCCATCCTACTCTTACCACCATGGGAGAGAACAACAGTAGCTCCTGGCCCTTGTAAAACCAGGGAGCTGCTCCATGTGAAGCACCAACACGACCCACAGCACCGCTGAACTAGCGAGTGCTTTCAACATCTTTGTTTTCTGATTGGCTTTTTCAAATATTCATTTCATCGCATTGGGAAAATCCAGAAACTGCTCTTCTGTATAATTCGCCAGGGTCCAGTAATGCTGGACACGTGCTTGTGCTCATTATTTCCAAACTTTCAGGGACTGAAAGCTAATGAGTTACTTAGCAGTTTATTTAGGTTTTTTCCAGCTCATGGTGGTTTTTCTGCAGCCATCTACATGTGACCTTCGTATTTCCTTCTGAAAAGGAAGGAAGTGGCTTTCCCAAGCGATTTCCGTTGGCCCGGGGGTGGCTGTGTTTGACACCCTCAAAGCTTTGCTCTGAGGTGCTCTCCATGGCAGTGACCCTCTGGAGAAGGCTCCATCCTGGGCAGGTCAGGATGAGACCGTGCGCTCGTACCTGCACTGTTGGGAGCAGGGATGCGCCTGGGAACACCACGAGCCTGGGGTGGAGTGATCTGTCTGAGACCTGGAGCCACCCAGCCCAGTGTGCGGCCAAAGCATCCCCTTCTCCTGGGCACGACCTCTGTCACGTTCCTGGGGAAAGGGCTGTCCTGGCTGGAGTGCAGTGCTGCTGTTGTCACCCGCTGTCACCCAGTGTCACCCCGTGGCTCCTCTCCTGCCTGCGGCTGG